AGTTCCTGCAGGAGGGTTGCTTGGAGGATGCTGGAGTTCTGCTCTAGGGTAGTTGAGGCTTGTGGAAGCGTGGCAAGGAGGAGTCTGGTTATTTTTATTCAGCCAACAGTGACGGCAAGCCCACAAAGATCCCGTGGTTCAAAGGTAGATTAGTGATGGTCCAGCCCACCAGGAGCTTGTGGTCTAGCAGGCAAAGATGGGTGAGTCAAGAGACAGTAAAATACAGTGTGACAAATGTGATTCAGGAAAGAACCCAAGGGTGTACGCTTAACCTATGTTTAAGGTCCAAGGAAAGGCTTGTGAGAGACAGTTCCTGAGCTGAGGCCCAAAAGATGAGTAAGAGATAAGGAGCAAGGAGGTGGCCTATTTAGGGCCGTGCACAGCCCTGGAGGGGAGAGAAAGGAGGTGTTTATGTATCTACAACTGGTTCTATGAGGCTGGAGTGCAGCGTGAGGGGTCCAGGGCCAGCAGAAGAGGCTGGTGTCTGGGCAGGGGGGAACTGAATGCAGAGATGAGGAATTTGGGCTTTATCCTACAGGCAAGGGGGAACCCATGAAATATTTTAAACAGGACAGTAACATGAAATGATTAGCCGTTTAGAAACAGAAGGGGAAGGTATTCACTTTCTAATGCTGCATAACAAATGACCACAAACTCAGTTGCCTAAAACAACATCCCTCATCTAGCCCCCACTGACACATAAAATTAATCATCACAATCATCTAGTCCCCAAAAGAATTAGAGAACTGGCACTGTTGAAATTATTATTTCAGGGGTGGAGGGTGGGGAACCTGAAATACACATATGCCACAAAATTTGAAACTAAAGCTAAAATCAAGCCTTTAGTTCTCGTACAGAGCATAAAGGAAACATGTAAATGACGCCACAGGAAAGCAGTGCATCACATCCAGAATGTGGGAAACTCTATGGAACAACTGACCAGGTTTCTTCAACTAGAAAAAAAGGGGGAGTGGAAGAATGTTCCAGATTAAAAGTGATGTAGAAGACGTAAAAATGAAGGCAACGTATGGATCCTGTTGGAATCAATAGTTGGACAAACCAGCTGTACATCTGAATATGGGCTGGTTATTCGAAGTTATTAAGGAGTTTTTGATAATTCTGTTAGGGGTCATAATGACATTGTGGCTAAAACACAAAATATTATGTTTGATCTGAAAAAAGGTTTTTTGTCATGGGGAGTATGGTAAGGTGGAGTCAACAGCTGGGTGGATTGACATCATCTCTCAAAATCAAACTAAAGGTGGGCCTCCCCGGACCCCGCCATTCCTCCAGAAGGAATCAGTCACTCTCTGTCTCTGATCCTCTGTGTTGCGCCTTATGTGCATGGGTGTATGTGCTTCCTTTTCTAAAGAGTGAGCATCCGGGACTTCCTTGGAGGCCCAGTGGCTAAGACTCCGCCCTTCCATTGCAGGGGGCATGTGTTCGATCCCTGGGTCAGGGAACTAAGATCCCACATGCTGCAAGGTGCAGCCAGAAAGTAAATAAATAAATAAATATAAATAAATGGTGAGCTTCCTGAGAACAATGATGCTGCTTTTCCCAGGATTATAGTAGGTGCTACAAATACTAATAAATCTTAGAATGAATGTTCTCCAAGCCACTAATTCATATGCAAAAATGTATTTCATTTCACGGCTGTTATAATTTAACATTTCTTTTAACATAAAGGGGCATTTCTGAACCACACATAACCATGTCAGAATGAAATCAGGAACATGACAGCATTGGTTCAATACAGCATTAGTAACAGGTGGATGAACTTTTAAACTCTGGTTGGGCTGGCAAATATTCAGTTAGGGTTGTTCATTGCCTGCCTCAGAAACACTTATGTTAGTGATGGTAACACTAGTGGCTGTTAACGGATAAATCCCCAAGTAGTGGTTTAACACATAGATGTTTGTTTCTCATTTGAGTAAAGTCCAAGCAGTATTCTCCTATCCTTGGAGGGGAGGTGGGCGGTGGGAATGGGGGTGGAGGCTCTGCTCCACACAGCCACTCATGTTCTCACTGATGGTAGCTTTCAAGGTCACTCTCCCTGGATGTCAGCATCCAGCCAGCAAACTGGAGTAAGGGGATGGAGAAATGGCAAACATGCTCCTGGCACCACAGCCTGGAAGCTCTTCACATTCAACGGGTGGGAACTAGCCACTTGGATTCACTTCAACACAGAGGCTGGAATGTGGTCCCCTGTTGGGCAGGCAATTCCTGATAACGATTCTATAAGAATAAAAATCTTTTGTGGCCAATTAAGTATCTCTTCCACACGCTGTTCGCTTAAAAGTTCTGATATTTACACAAAAGAAATATTATAATACCTAATTATGCTTTATTTTATCCTTCATAAAACAGAATAAATAATGAAGGTCTAGGGAAGATTCGAGGGCTAGTAGCTTTAGGGAACGGGTCTGCAAGACTTTAGTGTGTTGTTACTCCCGGTTTAGAACCATCTCATGGAACCCAGGTAATTCACAAAGAGTCTTCTTCACTTTGTACAAGGTAACCATAGGGAAATGTCACAAACAAGGATGATGATAGAAATAATTCTGAAACAGCTGGCTGGTCTAAGAAAGCTCAGCTAGAGTTGAAATAGTTCAGATGGAAGCTGAGTTCCCTCTCTGGTGTAAATTTATCTCCCGTATGAAGCCTACAGTTTCGAAGCAGTACATCCCTGGAATGGTTTCCTATCTCCAACCTGGGAAAAACAGTGTTCTCCTTTGTAGATGTACAAATACCACTGAGGTTTTTGAGTCCATTTCTAATCTGTACTTAAGCTCAGATAACTTCGTTGGGCTATAAAACCATGCTTACAACTGCTTATTCAACATCTCCACAGAGACATCCCATAGGCCCTAAAGTCCAATACAGCCAACTCAACTCAACACCTAATTCTGCTTTTCTCGAAATAGTTTGTATCTTGATTGTCCAAAAATTAGCCTGGTGTTCTTTCACTTCATTTCTCCTACCTCGGTGGTTCTCAACCAGAGGTGACTATTTTGTCGCCAGGGGACATTTGGCAACATCTGAAGACATTTTCAGATGTCATAACCGGGGGAAGAGATGCTACTGACATCTAGTGGGCAGAGGCTAGGAATGTGGTTAAACACCCTACAAGGCATGGGACAGTCCCTCCTGGCTCCAAAAAAGAATTATCTGGCCCAAAATGTCACTAGCCTTGAGGCTGAGATACCTCGCCCTACTCCATGGCCTGTAGGTTCTACCTCCTATGTATCTTGCAAATCTGTTCTCTCCTGGCAGCTCCATTCTCAATGCCTTGTTTCTGGCCTTCATCACATCTCTCATGGAATACAACAGGCTCCTAAGTCGTTTTCTTGCCACCCAGTCCTGCTGCTTCCTTGGAAGGAAATGTCCGAATGGCACAAGCTCTCTCATCTTCAAGGTTCAGTTAACTCCTCAAGTATTAACTGCTCTGTGAAGGAGACAGTTAACTTCCCTGTCCGGCCTGGTCTCCCCGTTCCCCTCCCAATCTCAGAGGCCCTTTGTCGGTAGATGCACCATCACTTCATTGTCTCCCTGACTAGAACCTAAGCGCTGGTGAGAAGCAACCTTAATATTCAGCCTCTATGAATAACACAGCACAGTTGAACTGATGCAGGATATACACCCTCACTGGTGCTTCTCATGATCAGAAGTGGAAGGTGAGAAGACTGGGTTAGGCTGGGTCAGAGGCAAAGTGGGAACTGTAGTCACAGGGCCTGCTGAGTCGGTCTGTGGGGCTAGTTACAGAGTTTGGCCACTGGCCTCATTACTGCTCAGCAGAGCCCCCGAAGCTAACCTGCCCTGATATGTGTTTGATGTGTTTCACTGCAAGGGGTTTTCTACTGTGTTATGGACTTAACTTCTTCAGGTTTCAAGAGCCATCAATATGGAGAGAGAACCTGAAAAAGGCCAGAATACTACAGAGAGGAAAAGTGCAGGTACAATAAAGTCCTGAACCCATGCTGGCTTTGGCATTACTTTGATGCACAGGCAAGACTAGTAAAAGTGCTTGTTTAAAAAAAGTTCAAATATTTTCCCTTGCTTTTTGGCTTTTGCTCTAACATTTTCAAGGCTACTGATGAATTCAGGGTTCTTTCCCTGTTAGTCCTCCTCTGGGGGAGAGAACCAAGACAACCTTTTCTTATAGCCACCATCTTACATTTCTATAATTAACAAGTTAACAGAGTCTAGAGAGGTCTTCTCTCTCACTCCTCTCTATCGTGTGTGTGCGTGCACGCACGTGCATGCGTGTGTGTATGAATGTGACAGCATTGTCTATGACAGCAACAAATTACTTATAACCTACACATCTTTCATTAGGTTAGTCAATAAATTATGGTATAACCTGGCATACAAAATACGCATTAATACGCAGCTATCAATGTATATGTGGATTCAACACTGAGAGATGATTTATTAGTTAATAAAAAAGAAAGGATGGGCTTCCCTGGTGGCACAGTGGTTGAGGGTCCGCCTGCCGATGCAGGGGACACGGGTTCGTGCCCCGGTCCGGGAAGATCCCACATGCCGCGGAGCGGCTGGGCCCGTGAGCCATGGCCGCTGAGCCTGCGCGCCCGGAGCCTGTGCTCCGCAACGGGAGAGGCCACAACAGTGAGAGGCCCGCGTACTGCAAAAAAAAAAAAAGAAAAAAAAAGAAAGTCTCCAGATAACCTGAACGGCTCCCTCTCCTCCTTCCCTTCTTAACTCAAATGATACCACCCTTTTGGGGAGCTTCCCCAACCACCTGACTGAAAACTGCACCCATCTCAGCTCCTACTTTACTTTGGCCATCATCTACATCACCCTGTGACCTCTGTCTTATGTTCTGTCATCGTGTGTATTCCTTCGCTAGCACACGAGCTCCCCCAAGGGCAGGGAATTTTATTGTGTTCACTGCTATAGCCTCAGAGGCTAGAACAATGCCTGACGCATAGCGGGCACTTACTCGATAGCTGTTAAAGTAATGAATAAAAACACATTTGTTTTAAAAAAGAAGTTTTGTCTTTATTAATAATAAACCAGTGAGGTTCAGTTTAAAACAACATTAAAAAGATGTTACGTCTTTTAATGCAATGTTAGCCCTTTTATTACCGGGACCACTGTGAGCTGATGGAAGCTATGAGCCCCCCTCTCCCTGCTCCCCGCCACCTCCCCAAATCCAGTACAATTTCAAGATATTCTGAGACTTTCCTGAAGTCTGTTTATAAACTTCTAAAGGGTCCACTGACCCCAGGGTAACAGCACCTGGCTTAAAGCGTCCTCTGGCTTGGAATCACGATTTCTCCCCTATTCTCGTGACTCAAGGAATACGTATGACTCAAGTATCAGTCTTCCCCCACCGCACCCCACCATTAGCCAGTTAAGTGTTACAGAGATACCTTCTACACAGGATTCACCAGTTAGCGACGGTAAGCACAATGTCTGCAGCTGAGACCATGACAAACACCCAGATGAAAGCTGAAAGATCGAGTGAATAATCCAGAGATTTCAAACAGTACTGATGTTTACAGAGCACAGCCCAAAAATCTGGTAAAGTGAATTTTTTGCCTGTCAGCTAAAAGTCTGGAGTCACAATCTCAGAAAGATAGAAAAATCAGGATCTATTCCACATAGAATATATGTTTCAAATTTTACTATTTAAAGAACAAAATCATAGGGAATATGCACATTTACCCAAGTGAAGTTTTCCATTCAATAGGAGAGAAATCAAATACGTTGTAATAAAGACTCTCCAGCTAAAAACTGAATATGAGATCAGTAAAACAACAAGAGTGATTTGACTGTGTTTTATTTCAGTGGGCACACTTTATTCATAACTGTCTCCAGGAGAACTAGGCTAGGTCTCAACCGGCAACAGTCACAGTTATTAAGCAAGTAAATACACCACCACTTTCGTGCTCTCCTTTATTTCTTTATGTCTTCAGTCTCATCTGGCTCTTTCTCTTGATGCTCTCTTTCCCACCTCATTTCTTTTAACTCTTGTCTGTATTTCCGTTCAATGAACCGCTTCTGATGGGCCATCTGGGGAAAGTTATCTGACACGAGGAGATATATTTTACACTTAATAAAGGAGAGCCACCAGTGCACAGAATGATGCAAACTAAACATACACACATACGAACGAACATGTATTCATAGGAAATCTATATAGTTGTATTTTGTAAGGCAAGAGAAAAAAAATTGCTTGCTTTCTTCTCTTATTCTTTTATCATTCAGGAACACAGTGGAAGTCTGGATCAGCAGTCGATTCTGGATTTCAGTATCTGATGTGAACTCGAGCATAAAAGGCACCGAAATACACAGGTATGTTAAAACATAGACATGTGGCTTCAGAATGTTTCCAGCTAAGGTGTTTTAACACAGTTCTCCTAGCAACAAGTGATTTTCAGGGAGAGATTAAAGGCTATAGCAAAAGGGAGTTGTATATTTTTACAAAGCTTAAACCAAAAACCTCAAACAAATAACGACATTATCACACCATTATTTACCAACAATTAAAGTTTCTGAAAAGAGTAAAAAGATCAGATGGACAAAAGGAGGCCACATCCTAAGTCATTATTTCTGATAATTCAATTTGTGAAGTTTATCATGAGAAGCTAAAAGCTATATGGGCAACAGCAACTCGAGTAGAGCACTTTCATTTGGTGAAAGGAAACATGTCACTCAATAGTACAGTTTAACCTACATTTAGTTCGATATCTGACCCCACTCAAGAGTGTTGACACAGTGGAAATCTTGAATAAGATGTAAACGTTTTACAATTCATTTGTTATTTGTGGTATATAATGAGTGTAGCAATGGAGTGAGAAATCAAATATGGAACAAGAAAAAGTCATTTTACACACTTAGTCAACAACACTTACACACTTCAGCAACAAATATCACAAAGGGATGCATGCACGAATGAGAGCAATACAAGTTATCTGGTAACAGAGGAGAAGGACACCATTCTCCCTAACCTGGTACGGGTCTGTTAAACACAAGAGGTACTACTTCATATTTGAAAATAGGAAGAATCAGCATGGCATGTTTGGGGGAAAGTTTGATTTTGTTGAGGTTGAAGCATAATAAACGTGGACATAAATATATAGTATATTCCTAACCCCCCTTCCTTTCAGCACAGTGTCCCATTTTTCACCCCAGGTGGGAGAAGGGACAGGGAGGGTGGTAGGAAAAGGATCTGAAAGGCAGGTGGTGAATCACCTAAGACCTAAGAGTCAGTGATTGACTTTAAACAAAAGAGGAGCCATAATGGCATATTTTAGAAATAAAACAGCAATAAAATCCTATTCTCTAAACGATATTAATTTGATTCCTTATGTACTGTATAAAACACAGGTTTCAAGTATTAAGAGTACTTAATTCCACCACTCAGATCTAGCCATAGATAAGCTTTTAGAATATATCCTTATAATAAGCACTTTTCCTATGAAGTAAAGTTATACTCCACACACACACACACGCAATGCAAATGTGCACATATATTACACAGACACATGAACACTTAAAATCATTCCCCCAGCCATCCTTACATTGGGAGAATATAGTTATAGGCACATTTTGATGGGTACACTTGGGTTGGTAAACTACTGCCCACAGGCCAAATACAGCCCTCTACCTGTTTTGGTAAATAAGATTTTATTGGAACACAGACACCAGCCATCTGCATACTACCCGAGCCTACGGGCTACAGTGGCAGAGGCGCATAATTGTGACAGAGTACTTACTATCTGGTCCTTTATAGAAAATGTTTCTCAATCTCTGGGATAATTTATTTAAACATTTCCCTACCTTCAAACGTGCAGTTTGACTGGTTGATTTTTTGGCTATTACAAACCAAGCTGTCACATTTATCGTGGTAGGTGAACTTTAGCTCATAGCTCCAATTATTTTCTTAGGTTTGACTCCTAGAAACGAAATCTCTAGATCAAAGGGTATGAACCTCTTTAAGGACCTGATACAGACAGTCAAACTGTTTTCCAGCAGTTTAAACAATTCCCTTCCACCAGTATGCATGTGGAGGCCAGTCTCAGAATCAGCCATCTCTCCAGTATGTTTTATGGTTGAAAGCAAACAAACCAAAAACTCAAAAGATCATCTCTAACAACCCTACAGCTGGAAAATGGAGTCTCATTTTTAGTTCAATATGTGATTATACACATATAAAAAAGCCCCACAACAGAGTCAACAAAACTCTCAGTGAAGATTCCATGGACATGGGACCCTGGTAACACCAGCTTCTGCCCCCAGGACTCCTCCCCCTGCCCCCACCCACAAGCTATCATCCGCCAATTACCACTTGGCTCCCGGCCCTCCTGCCTTTCCTGGAATCTCTCCCAGGCTGAGCATCCGGGGCCTCTTTACCTTTAGCTTCCCACACTTTGCTCTCGCCCACACTGAGCTGGCGTTTGAAGCATGAGGGAACTGCACTGTCAGGTTTTACCCACAGGTTCTGCTGAGCGGCACGATATACCTCAGAAGAAAACTTCCTTGCACTTAAGCCTTCAATTTACAAAAGACTCTGTAGTTCCCTATAGGGTCAATTATATAATTGAAGTTTCTTCAACCCAGCCATCCCACTCTTGGGAATCCAACCCTTAGAATTAAAAGCAGCAATACAGCGACTTTTATTATCAACAATGATAAAAAGACAGAAACAGTGTCCACCAAAAATTTTAAAAGCTGAATAAAATATGGCATGAAATATTATGCAGCCCTTAAGAAAGAATGAATTGGAGCCACTATGACCTGCAGGGCTGCCCGTGATGTATTATTTAGGAAGAAAAGAAAGATGCAGAGAAGTACGTAAATATCCTGTCTTAATAAAACAATGGCTAAAAACTAAAAAGGAAAAAACCATCACAGGTTTAAGATTTTAGAAGTATAGAGAAATATGTAGAATGAAATATACTAAGTCACTCACATGGGTTACCTGTGCTGAGAGTGGGACTCTATACAAAACAGGAAAATGAAAATCAAAAAGCATTTGGGAATACTTTTTTTTTTTTTTAAATTATAAGCCCATTTTATACATATCTTACATTCTACTACACTCTGTCTGGAGAATAATTATGAAGAAAAGATCACATTTTATCAGTACTTACCATTTTTCTACTTCCCCATTTTCTTTCCATAAAATACTCATTACATTATGAACATATAATTATAGAAAAAGAGATAGGCTTACATTTTTCAAGTGCATCCATTGCTGCTCCCATTTCTGCTTGCTGAATACTATTAAATAAAATAAAGACAAGGTACATTTTAAGATTTTTTTTTTTCAAAAACACAAAGCATGGCTCCAAATTATTCAGCCTGATTTTCTTTCATATTTCGTTCATAAAATTTTATCTGATTACTTCTACTGTCACATACTGAACTGCACAGATAGGAATACACACAAGGGCATGCAGAAATGTCATTTATTTGCACAAAGCCTGTTAAGTTATTCATTCCACACCTTTAACACTGCAATAAAATGCCTTCCATCTATATTAGGTCTGAAGTATTTCTTACTTAAATTTGAACATCTTCAGTGTAAAGTTTAAGAGGCAAAGAGTAAAAAAATACACGTGTAGACAGACTTCAAATCATTTCTCAGTTTAAGATATAAATTGGAAGGTTCAAAGAAAGGTGATAACATACGAAATTCTTTTTACCTGAAGATGTGAGCTCAAGTGAGTAGTAATAAGAGATCAAGTGTCTAATGGCTGTGTCATGCATGACATGTTCTATGAAATGCTTGCAGCAGTGTTGGGTAACTTAAACTGAACAGACCTTACCTGTGCACCAGGTAATGTTCTTTCCTCAAGGTAGCCAAAGCCCTTTAGGCAATGGCATTCCCACTGCTCAAGGCCGATTCTCAAGTTTGGGGCTAAGCTTGGTGGGTACATTAAGCCTTGGGATTCACTTTGCTATTACCCTCGAATACTCTATACTCTGAGTTTAAAAAGACAGGCTGCAGAGTTTGGAAATACCAAGCAGGCACCTGCCAGACACACAGAATGTTCATGTGAAGAAATTTAAAGTATCTTCTTCTCATACCTTGGGCCTTTCCCACAGCCGATTCTTTCTCCCTTGAAGTAGACAGCCACGGTATAGGTCCTAGCATGGGATGGCCCCACTGTCTGCAGAGTCCTGGAAGGAAAAGGAAAAACATTAATTACGTAAAGTGTTACTTAATTGTTATTGCTAATATATAACTCCAAGAAAAACCATGTGACTTATTGCTTAGAGAGAGGAAGGTAAAATTAACAGGAAAGTTACAGGAGTACGGTTTTGATTTGCTAACGTGACAAATATAGAGAGCTTTGAAGTAGGAAATTTTTAAAATTCTACAGTGGATTTTTATATACACATATTTTTCCCAAAGCATTATAAACAGTATCTGAAGGCGAACAACGAAGGGTAAAATATTTTTTAACAATTCCAAGTGTTATTCCTAGTATCATAAAATTAACAAACTTTTGTCAGTGAAAAGTTAGCCATTGCAGTCTGTTCATTGTTTTTCAGTGCTAATCACTGCGAAAAATCATAAATATTCGGGTAATGCACCTCAAGCCAGAGCTGAATGGCTTCACACCCTTTACGGATTCTTTCTAATGTCTGGTATCTTATCTAAAAGATCAGAAAATACATTTAATTTCTGAAACATCAGAGATCAATTCAAAGGTATGCTATGATGTGGAGTACACAACACAATTGCCAAAAAACAAAACTCCAGGCACTCTGGATTTTAATGACAAGGTGCAGATTTCAAACATGGTAAAACTGATAACTTCATGGAAAAGGGAAATTAAACGCAGCCAACAAAGATAATGGAATGAACACAGTAATCCTGAAAAAACTATGTAAAACAACCCCATCATCTTGATAAAAAAGAACAAGCTCATCACGTACTTTCATTTGGGGGATATATGAGAAGGGAGCAGTCATTTCCTTTGTGTGTATATACTCACTAGGATGAAAGTACACGGATGGCTTCTTAAAGGTAGTGCTTATTATAGTAATCATGCTGGCGCTATGAGAAGTTTATCATCCTCATTTTATTTATTGAACTTTAATTATCACTTTGATGAGGAAATACTTTGAGCCTTTCATGTCATACAGTTTGGATGTTCATTATGCTTATTAGACACATGTTAAAGTGCTATTTCTAAACATTTGGGTTTTTTCCCAACAAGTAAAGGAATCACTATTGAGCAGTGACAGCTTCTTGGGACAATTTATAGCAGCCTGCTGTGGGGTGACTCAACCATCTCTTGGCCTCAGTTTTTCTTTTAGTGAAAAAGCCTATAACGTGTTGTGACTATTAAACAAAAACATAAAAAAGGATTTAAATTCCCGGCTGCCACTCTGGTGTTTTCCCTTGAGTACTGTGAAGTCTGAGAAAGTCCGCAGGAAGGGGCTTTTATTCCATATGAAACACTCACACAAATGTGTGTACTTGCACCCATGTGTGTACAGAGACGGGGGTAACCCAGTCCTAAAACTAGATACTTAAACATCCTTAGAAACACATATCCAGACCATACCTTGGGAGGCAACCCAGTTATTTTGATAATCCCTCCCTTTTATAATTCCTCTTTGAAACCACCTTCTAAGACCACCTTCTGAGACCACCCTCTGAAACCACCTTCTGAATGTCTCATGATAATTACTCTACTTCAGAGTCAAACCTCCTGTTTTCATCAAAACTGGTGTTACGTGTTTAGTGACCTGCGTTTCCTTTGAATGACTTTTGGCTACTACTCAAAGGATAAAGATGTGTCACTAAAGATATTCAAATGTACACGGCAGCTTTTAGTACACATTCTGAAAAGAAAAGTTCCAAATATTTGAATAATATAGCAGCGGTGAAGAACTGCCCTGCTTTTTACAGTGATCGCCTATCAGGCAATCGGGACAGAGGCCAGCAGGGCCTCAAAGAGAGTGGAGAGAGACACACAAGTACTGTTACAAACAAACAAGCACACACCATCTAATCTAGATGCGTAGGCAGCAGGGGTTATAAGAAATAAGAAGACAACTATAAGAATGTACATAAAACAATTTAACCTAAATTTTTCTGATCTTGATCAGAAAAATTATCTGAGCATGTCTTTCTCCCAGGGAGCAGTTCCCAAAGCATTTTAGAGATGGGAGAAAGCACAGATAATCGAATGTGACCCACTTACTTAGAGCTCAAAGACTGAGAGGCCCAAAGAGTTTGAGCATTGGGCCCAGAGTCAAGACGTCTCCATGCAGGACTCATGTGGCCATTACCCCACAGTGATTAGTTTTTCCTCCAGGCACATGGAGCATTACTTTAAGCTTCCCGGATCCAACAGCCTGTGGGCAGCAGGTACTCACTTGTACAGAGGAATGTCTGGCTCTTTTCCTTCTGTCCTAAGCGTCAAGCAACACTGCTGAAGCTGGGATTTGGGGTCATTCCAATCCTGATTCAAAATGAACTCCTGCAACAAGTCCCCAAAAAGTTTTTAGTAAAGGGTTCTAGAATCACCAAGCATAGAGCACACAACCAATTTAAATTTTATAGGAGCTTACTTTTAATCGTGGAAAGAAACAAACATTCATGAAAGTATGAACATATTCCAAATCCTTATCAATGTACAGAGCTGCAATAAATGCTGAAAAAGAGAATACGTAAAAATAAGCCACAATGCATTGCCATTTACTAGAAAGAGTACAAGTCCTAGACTTTTTTTTTTTTTTCTTGTAGAAGCTTTTATTTCAGTGATTAATAGAACGCAGTAAATGGAAACTATGCTGATTTACATTAGGCATGCACCTCTACCTGAAACTGCTGTTAGTTTTTGACTGGCCTAAATCTTTATAACTTATTTTTTCATTTAGGCACATCTTTAAATTTTTTTGGACTCTGACATACAGGGTAAGTTAACTTGTTCCTTGTGGCAGTTTAGTATGAGAATTATGTTCGCTGGCTAGATTCCTTTAACTAAAGGCCTCTAGACTCTCAGGCTACCTGTACTAGCTCAAGACTGTACTTTACATACAGATATTTAAGTGAATCACAGTATAAGGGAGGGAGATAACCTAGAAAGGTGAAATGTACTGTATGAATAATCCATACATTTTTTTTCCAGCACTGATAATCAAACATTAGATAAGGAGGCCTCCAGTCAAGTACCAAATTACTCTTTCCCCCACTGCTGCCCTTTCTGAGAGACACAAAGATGTATATCGATCTCTCCAGAAATCTGAAAGGAATCCACACAAATAACAGATTATTACCTATGTGGTCCCACTATCAAGCTATAGAGCAGTTCCACTATTAAAATTGTAGGAAGCAGTTAATGGGACTATGAGGAAAGCATCGTCCCACATACAGTAATATACATCTAGTAGAGTTTTCCATTCATCTGTCAATTGTTTTCCCAAGATTAGCATTAAAAAACACAACCCCAAACACATTTGACCCTCAAACCACCCCCACACACAAAAATTGGTCTTTGTTCATTCTCAGATGACAGGATGTCCCAAGAGTGACAAAGGTGGGAGCCGATCCCCCCACAGCCTTTTCTTCAACCATCCCATCAACTGCTCTTCATTTCTTGAACTACCTTCCTTTTCCAAAGAGGTAATACTCAGGTCAGTCAGAAAGGCTTTCTGAGAAGACTGGCTTGGATTTCTGGGTCTGTTCCAGTCGATTCAAGATGAATTGGCTTGTATCAATGAAGCGCTCAACGCAGTTCACAAAACAGGCCTCAGCCCGACTGTCCAACTTTGGCCCAGGCTTGTCCATGCACTTTTCCCAACAAAGTTCCGTTATCTGGTGCACCAGCTGCTGGAAGCGCTGCTTCTGAGTCTCTACCTCGATGAAATGCTGCAGCTGCGGGTCGACCGAGCCCAAACCCGCTGCGGAGGAAGACGAGGAGGACTCCATCCCAGCGCGGCCACGCGTGCCGAGACAAACTCCGCACCAACTCACCGACCTTCCCAAGTCCTAGACTTTTAAGAAACGTTAACTTCCAAGCCCTCTTTATTTTTTAGCACTACCGTTTCATCTTTCTTCAAACAAGAACTACTCTTTATCACTAATATTAAAAGCAGCAATAGAGATGTATAATTAAGATGCAAAACCACAAAGACCAAATTACGTTTGACTAAGGGATAAATGAATAATTAGTTAAAATGATACACAAAGTGCTGCTGTATAGCAGGGAAAGAATGACACCTGGGAACACAACCATGTTAACATCAAATAAATCAAAATAAAACTTGAAGATCAGATGTGATGCCAGAATGAGCACATCCTTGGGGCCTGCTTTTCTTAACACTGATCTTGAGGAGATCACCCATTTACAAGGGTTTGTGTTACCTTTCATCAACAGATATGGGACAATTTATAGATTCAATCTGCCGAAACAGAGAAAAAATTAATACTGCGCTTAATGACAATTAAACAATATAACCAAATTTGCATTAAAAAATGGTGACCCCAAAGACAGCTTCATTAAAAGGTACCTTCACCACACAAACAAACGGCGAGTTTTTAAAAGGAGGAATAAAAATAGCTTTTGTTGAGCTAAAAAAAGCCAGTGAGACTGATGATCACTCAACTTACTTTTTGTCTAATTCTAATCTTAAGTTACTTTTCTTTAATTGAAAAAGAAGTTCTTTTAAGCTCCTTAGTCAGATTGCCTTTGCACTTTGTAAATCAGCTGATCTTGCATGGTAGACTTTAATATCTGTATATAATTCCAATTGCCAAAAATACCAAAACATTAAAAAAAAAAAAGGTTCCAAGACCCAGTGAATGGCCCACTTATTTTACAGTAGTATCAGAAACAATAAAATTGTGTGTATAATCCTTTAGTTAGCTATAATAGGATTACTTATAATGCTACGAGACCATATCAGATGGTCTGATAACTGCAAGAGATGACAACATTGTCCATAGAGCTTTGAGTTCATTCACAACAATAGACAACTGTTTTAGTATTTAGGGAATAAATTACCTTCTTTCTTCTAGGCCTCTATCTAAAGGCTGCTGGGTGGCAAAAACAGCCATGATTCACTATTTCCCATCTTCACATTCTGTTACTGTTTCACACAAAGAGATGTGATGGCTGAGCATTAGGATGGAGGGGCATAGGGTGAGGAGGGGGGAGCATTAGTGAACACAGACTGAACATTAATTCATTATCCACAAGTCTTTTTTTAAAAATTTTTATTGGAGTATGGCTGCTTTACAATGTTGTGGTAGCCTCCACTGCTCATTATTCACAAGTGTTAATTCCAAATTATTCTCCTTCAAACAAGCTTTGGAGAGAAGCATAAATAAAAATTAAAATAGAGAAGAGGTTTCTTTAATCAGAAAATATAATAATGAGAAGCAGCATAAATTTGGTCCATTGATTTAAACTTGAACCTGCAGGTTAAGAGAAAAGCTTTATTCCCTAGGACTCACATTCCAAAAGGTCGGCCAAGGTCTTGGTCCTAAGGGCCACAGGCCTCTTGGTCTTGTCGTTGGTGATGGCATATTCCTGCATGCCCAATTCCTCTGCTACCTTGGCTTGAGTTCTGTTATTCACCAAAGAGCTTCGCAACAGCTGGCCAAAAGGAATTGAGGTACATTTAGAAACCATTTCACTTTTGGTCTCTCTCTTGCTCCTGTGTTGGGCCCACCCAGCCTAGACCACAGGGACACCTAGGCAAGCAATGGCTTAAGTTCTCAACCACCACCCCCAGGCAACAGTGACAAATTCCACATGCTTCTAGTTTCTCCTTAATAACTTACTCTGCTCTTGGATTTTACCTAAATGACATTTAAATAGTTCATTTAGTTGTTTAGTAGCAGTGAGCAGTGTTGGGGGAGATGCTATACTATACTAAAGGTCAAAGATTCCATTCAGTTTAATGTTACTAAACCAAGGAGCATTAAAACTTTAAAAAAATCAACTTATTGAAGTATAATTTGCATACAATAAAATGCACCCATTTTAAGTATAGGTAAATGAGTTTTGACAAGCTTCTACATTTCTGTTACCCCAAACAAGTTCCCTGGCCCCTTGGCGACCAATCAATCCAATCCATCTATCACCAGGCAAGCTTGACCTACTTTCTGTCACTGTACGTTAGTTTTAAAGGAGCATTTTTTAAAAAGTCAAAAATAAGCTTCACATTTTATGGCACTGATGCTAATTTTGATATCACAGGATTTGGGGAAGTGACGCTTTAGTATTATTTAAAATATTGAAATTATTTATTTACATTTTACTTTCATTCTTTAAAGATTTATATTGTATATATATATATATATATATATATATATCAGATTTATATGTGTATATATATATATAAAGATTATATATACTATATATCCTGACTCATAGTTTTTCAAGCTGAGACCCTTTATTTTTAATCAAATTAAAATGTAATTTCCGTATTTCAACTTCAGGAATTCCAAACAAAAATTTCTACTGGGAATTTCAGTCAGCTAGCAGTCCTCTAAAAGGACCATCCAAGTAGTAACATTAAACAGTGCATGAAAATTGTACAACCAGTCTATTGTAGACGTGCCCATAAAACAAGCATGGCTTAGGAATTTAAGTCACTGATCACTCACTAAAGGAAGGTGGGGAGGGAGGCTGGAGAAAGTGGGTAGATACAAAGATGAGAACTCACCAAACAAAAGCTGAAAGTAATTATCCCCAATCTCTAAGATTTGGGGGAATAAAGTACCTAAAACTAGAACTTTTTCTTACAACAGATAAAACAAACTCTTGGTCTAGTACAATTCCTTCCTGCTAAGGAATAACCCTGACACCAGGGCCGAGGAACAGGAAGCACTGCAAGTTATGCTGTTACTATATCCCCTGCCGTTCCACATCGAACTCTGTTTATTAGATGCAAGTTTTATGCTCTGTGGCTCCACAGTGTCAACTGAGCTTATGAAAATCAAGATTTATCCTCAATGCCTGAGACTGCAACCTTGACAATAGATAAATAAGAAACAATATGTTCTTAATTTGTCGGACAATGATTCATCAAGCAGAAATACAACTTGATCTTCACATGCCATGCTTGCTGTTGAGTTAGACTGTTATTCTTTGCTTGTCTCTGCTCCTTTCCTCCTCCGATTGCCCCTAAACTCACTCTTTTCTTCAATACAGTGTTTTCATTAAAATTAATATCCACAGAGAAGCTCAAAATTAAAAAGGCCTAGCATATAACGTTAAAAAGAAGACACAACCAGGGAATTCCCTGGTGGTCCAGTGGTTAACACTCAGCACTTTCACAGCTGTGGCCCAGGTTCAATCCCTGGTCGGGGAACTAAGATGCTGCAAGCCATGCGGTGCAGCCAAAAATAACAAAACAAAACAAAACAAAAATGCAACCATTAGGGAGCCCACCAGTCTAATATCTTGTAATTACAGAATAACTGAGCTGGAAGCTGGAAGGGAGACATCTTTTTCAGTCTGGATTTATAATGGGGGAGGGGGAGGTTCACAAGTACAGGCCATGGGGGAACAGAAGGGCTATTTTGAGAATATGGCTATGCTGCGTGAACTAGCTTCTCTCTCAGTACATGCTTTTGGTGAGAGGAGAAAACTCTAACTTGGGCTGCATGTATGGAGATTTCATGCCTTAGAATCATGGCATGCCTGATGTACATATGAGCTCACACAAACCAAAATATGTCACTGGTTATTGGGCCCCAGCTGCCGCCTTCCAGCCTCAGGGCTCCTCATTCGGTGCTGAGCAGTAATGCTGTCTGACAGGGAAGGAGGAAAGCAGTGAGGATGTAAACAGGAACACTACCAATTTTATTTAAGATATGCCCCGATGGGTCTCAAAGCACCGGCAGGGTGGCCAGCAGAAGGTGAGATCTTTCAGTTCTTGCCAAAACTTGGAGCCTGAACCAAAAGTCAGTGGGGGAGAAGGAAGATATAAATCATCCATATTTTTAGAGTCAGTTTAAATTTAGAAGATGGGTTGAAAAGAGGTAAGACGTTGCTCTTAAACAACAAAGTCTGAATGGCAGTTCTTTAAATGACAACCTCCATCCTTGGCCTTTGCTGAACCCTGTTTCAGAATAAATCATGCTGTTTGCCAACGAGTGAGATCAAGAGGGGATCACAAGGCAAAAAACCACCTAAAGTTATGGCAGTTCAGTGCAACAGCTGTGGAGGCTGATGCTATAGCAGACCCTGGGCTGCTGGCTGAAGATCTGAGCTGATCAACATCCCGTGGCTGCCCTCTGAGAGCCGCTAATCTCTGAAGGAAGCCATACACAAAGTGGTCAATGCAATGCACTGTGACAGCTGCAGTGACAGCAGAGGCCACAGCACACGCAGGTACTCTTCTCCAACCCAGCTTTTCAAAAAGGCCTCCTGGAGGACCTGACCCCTGAGTAAAAACGTTTCAGAGGCTTGTTGACCTAGCTGGCTGTTATAACAGAATCATTAGTTAGTTCTGTCATACTGGTACTCAGGCCTCTTCCAAGAACCAAGGGATTAGAATTTCTGGACAAGTACGTTTTTAAAAATTTTATGTAGGTGGATTCTGATGAATGTAGAGTCAGAACTGAAAAGAATGCATCTGCCAGTGGGAGAAGAATGGGTGCAATGGTCTGAGTGTTTGTGTCACTGCAAAATTCATATGTTGAAATCCTAACCCCTAAAGGTGATGGCATTAGGAGGTGGGGGCCCCTGGAAGGTGATTAGGTCATGAGAGTGGAGCCCTCATGAATGGGAGCAGTGCCCTTATAAAAGAGGCCCCTATCAGCACAGACACCAGAGACAAGCAGGAAACACTAAGGCTGCTGCTGCAGCCACCAAGAAGCCTGTCTGCAAGCACAGGTCACTATCCACACCTCCCCTCCTGGGAGCCTGTGCAGCCCACCACTGCCAGGGTCCCGTGATCCAGGGACAACTTCCCCAGGAGAACACATGGCGTGCCTCAGGCTGGTGCAACGTCATACCAGCCTCTGCCGCCGCAGGCTCGCCCCGCACTCCATACCCCTCCCTCCGCCCGGCCTGAGTGAGCCAGAGCCCCCGAATCAGCAGCTCCTTTAACCCGATCCTGTCTGAGCGAAGAGCAGATGACCTCAGGAGACCTACATGCAGAGGCGGGGCCAAATCCAAAGCTGAACCCCAGGAGCTGTGCGAACAAAGAAGAGAAAGGGAAATCTCTCCCTGCAGCCTCAGGAGCAGGGGATTAAATCTCCACAATCAACTTGATGTACCAGCATCTATAGAATACCTGAATAGACAACGAATCCTCCCAAAATTGAGGCAGTGGACTTTGGGAGCAACTGTAGGCTTGGTGTTGGCTTTCTGCATCTCATTGGTTTCTGGTTTCATGTTTATTTTAGTTTAGTATTGAGAGCTTACTATCATTGGTAGATTTGTTTATTGATTTGGTTGCTTTCTTCCTTTTTTTTTTTTTTAATATATATATATTTTTTCCTTTTCCTCTTTCTGTGAGTGTGTAGGTGTACGCTTCTTTGTGTGATTTTGTCTGTATAGCTTTGCTTTTACTATTTGTCCTAGGGTTCTCTCTGTCCATTTTTGGCTTTTTTTGTTTCTTTGTTTTTTAGTATAGTTTTTAGTGCTTGTTATCAATGGTGGATTTGTTTTTTGGTTTGGTTGCTTTCTTCTTCCTTTCTTTTTAAAATTAATTTTTCACTTTTTTATTTTTAGTAACTTTATTTTATTTACTTATTTATTTTTCTTTCTTTCTTCCTTTATCTTTCTCTCTTTTTTTCTGAGCCGAGTGGCTGACAGGGTGTTGGTGCTCCAACTGGGTGTCAGGCCTGAGCCTCTGAGGTGGGAGAGTCGAGTTCAGGACATTGGTCCACGAGAGACCTCTGGGCCCCACATAATATCAAACAGCGAAAGCTCTCCCAGAGATTTCCATCTCAACTCTAAGACCCAGCTCCACTCAACAACCAGCAAGCTACAGTGCTGGACACCTTATGCCAAACAACTAGCAAGACAGGAACACAACCGCACTCATTAGCAGAGAGGCTGCCTAAAATCATAATAAGTTCACAGATATCCCAAAACACACCACCAGACATGGTCCTGCCCACCAGAAAGACAAGATCCAGGCTCATCCACCAGAACACAGGAACCAGTCCCTGCCACCAGGAAGCCTACACAACCCACCAAACCAACCTTACCCACTGGGGGCAGACACCAAAAACAACAGGAACTATGAACCTGCAGCCTGTGAAAAGGAGACCCCAAACACGGTAAGTTAAGCAAAATGAGAAGACAGAAAAACACACAGCAGATGAAGGAGCAAGGCATAAACCCACTAGACCAAACAATTGAAGAGGAATAGGCAGGTGACCTGAAAAAGAATTCAGAGTAATGATATAAAGATGATCCAAAATCTTGGAAATAGAATGGAGAAGATACAAGAAACATTTAACAAGGACCTAGAAGAACTAAGAGCAAACAAACGATGATGAACAACAAAATAAATGAAATTAAAAATTCTCTAGAAGGAATAAATAGCAGAATAACTGAGGCAGAAGAATGGATAAGTGATGTGGAAGATAAAAAAGTGGAAATAACTACCACAGAGCAGAAAAAAAAAA